GAGTACGGTTTTTTCAAAAAGCATCTGCGTCTCAGAATCCGGATTATTTGGAGACGCGACTCCTGCCCATTGATTTTTTTTTTTTTTTTTTTTTTTTTTTTTTTTTTTTTTTTTTTTTTTTTTTTTTTTTTATTTTTTTTTTTTTAAAAAAAAAAAAAAAAAAAAAAAATCAAACAAAAATCTAGTCTCTCACAATTCGGAATTCGAATTCTGGGAAACCGCGTTTCCCGACATTCGAGGTTCGAGTTATGGGGAACGCAATTCTAGCCCATTGGGTGCGGTTTCTCAAGAGAAATTGCGTTTCCCATAATTCGGAATTATGGGAAACGCATTTCCAGCCCATTGAGCGCGGTGTTTCAATAAGGATTTCGCCTCCTACACTTCGGAATTCAAATTCTGGGATACCGCGCCCCCCGAAATTCGGAATTCGAATTATGGGAAACACAATTCCAGCCCATTGAGTGCGGCATTTCAAATGAAATTGCGTTTCCCATAAAACGGAATCATGGGAAACACAATGCCGAACCATGAATGCGTTGTTTCCAAAGAAATTGCGTCCCATATTTTGGGATTCCAAATCAGGGGAGCAACATTTCCCGAATTCCGGAAGTCGAATTCCGGGAAACGCTATTCCAGCCCATTGGGTGCGGTTTTTCAAAGGCAACTGCGTTTCCCATAAATCGACATTCGAATCATGGGAAAACGCGTTTACCGTGCAATGTGTCCTTGGGGCCGTCGTCCCGGATTGCGTTTCCAATATTTAGAATGTATAGGAAACGCAATTCCAGCTCATGAAATACTGCTTTTCAAAAAGGAAAATTGCGCTTCCCATAATTCGCAGGGCTACGATGGGAAACGCAATCCTAAACGACTGCCCATAGGGAGGGGGCTCCCGCCTGAGACTTCTTCGCAAGTCACTCACAGACTAAGCCCCCGCCTGAAACATCCTCAAGATTCAGGCCTGAGGAGCCCAAACATGACGACAGTTTCAAGATCCCGATGGCCCGCTCGGAATACCAACATGAAATGCGGACCCCATAGGGAAGAGGCTCCAGTCTGAGACTTCCTCGCAATTCACTCTGCCCACGAGGCTCCCGCCTGAAACTTCCTCGATATGCAGGCCTGAGGAACCCAAATGTAACGACAATTTCAAAATCCCGATGACCGGCTCGGATTACCAACCTGAAATGCGGACCCTATGGGGCGGAGGCTCCCGCCTGAGACTTCCTCGCAAGTCATTCACAAACAGAGCTCCCGCCTGAGACTTCCTCAAGAATCAGGTCTGACGAGCCCAAACGTGACGACAATTACAGGATCCCGATGACCCGCTCGGATTATCAACGTGACGCGCGGGCCCCATAGGGAAGGGGCTCCCGCTCGAGACTTCCTCGCGATCACTTACACGTGAAGCTCCTCTTGGTCGATGACCATGATGGGATGGTGATAGTGATGGCGATGGTGGTGTGCGAGGGTAATGATGACGACGATGATGCTGATACTCGATGGTCATGGTGTGGTCATGGCATGATGATGCGTGAGTGATGGGAGAACGTGAATGAATGAACAAGTGAATGGATGATGGTGGGTGAGGATGTAGTGGGATGACAGCTGATGGTGATTGTGATGACTGTGATACGGATGATGATGACGATGATGATGATGACGACGGTGCGTGGGTGTGTGAAGATGGGGAGGGGGTCAAGATTGGGAGGAGGACTGCGCGGGGTAGGATGTGGGGAACTGAAAACCCTTCTGGGAACCTACCCCCTCCCCCCCTTATGGACTAAACGGGGAGTGGAGCTTGAAAGCTTCCCCACCTCCTTGGCAAAAAGAAGGAGCGCCGAAAACCAAAACAGCGCCGAAAACAAACAGAGCGCCGAAAGCCAAAGAGCCACCGAACACCGAAAGGATGCGAAAACCAAACGGGCCCCGAAAACCAACCGAAAGGGCACCGACAACCAAAACGGTGCCGAAAACCAAAAGATGCGCCGAGAACCAAAGGAAAACCGAAACCCAAAGGAACACCGAAAACCCAAGGGGCGCAGAAAACCCAAAGCGCGCCGACAACAAGAAGGACGCCGAAAACCAAAGGAGCGCCGAAAATCAAAGGGGCGCCGAAAAACAAAGGGACGCCGAAAACCAAGAAGCGCCGAACACCTAACGGACGCCGAAAGTCAAAGAGGCGCCGAAGCAAAAAAAGGGTTCGAAAACCAGCGGGGCGCCGAAAACCAAAGAGACGCCAAAAACCAAAGAGCGCCGAAAACCAAAGCAGCGCCGAACACCACAAGGGCGCCGAAAACCAAAGGGGCGTCGAAAACCAAAAGGGCGCCAAAAACCAAAGGGTCGCGAACTTGAAAAGGACGCTGGAAACCAAAGGGGTGCAGAAACCCAATAGAGAGCCGACAACCAAAGGGTCGCCAAACACCAAAAGGGCAACGAAAACCAAAACAGTGCCGAAAACCAACAGAGCGCCGAAAACTAAAAGAGCAGCGAAGACCTAAACGGCGCCGAAAAACCAAAGGAGCGCCGAAAACCAAGGGGGCACCGAAACCCACAAGGGCGCCGAGAACCGAAGGAGCGCCGAAAACCAAAAGGGCGCCAAAAACCACGGGAGCGCCGAAAACCAAGGGGCGCAGAAAAACGAAATGAGAGCGAAAACCAACAAAGCGCCGAACACAAAAAGATGCGCCGAAAATCAAAGATGCGCCGGAAACCAAAATGACACTGAAAACCAAAATAATACCGATAACCAGAAAGCCGCCGAAAACCAAGAGGGCGCCGAAAACCAAAGGGGCGTCGAACACCCAAGGGGCGCCGAAAACCAAAAGAAACGCCGCAAGTCCAAGGGGCGCCGAAAACCAACGATGCACCGAAAACCACAAGGGCGCCGAGAAACCAAAGTGGCGCCGATGACCAAAGGAGCACCGAAAACGAAAGGGGCGCAACAAACAACAGAAGCTCCGAAGACGGACAGGGCGCCGAAAACAAGAAGGGCGCCGAAAACCAATGGGGCGCTAAAAACTGCAGGAATGCCGAAAATCAAAGGGACGCCGAAAACCAAAGGGGCGCCGAAAACCAAAGGGGCGCCGAAAATCAACAATGCGCCGAAAGCCTACAGGGAGCCGAAAAACCAAAGACGCGCCGATAACCAAAGGGGCGTCGAAAACCAAAGAGCGCCAAAAACGAAAGGCGCGCAGATAGCCGAAGGGCGCCCAAAACCAAAGGGGCGCCGAAAACCAAAGGGGCGCCGAAAACCACAACAGCACAGACAATTAAGGGGGTGCCGAAAACCAAAATGGCACCGAAAACCAAAAAGGGAGCCGAAAACTAAAAGGGCGCTGGAACCCAAGAGGGCGCCGGAAACCAATGATGCGACGAAAACTAAAAAGGGTGCTCAGAAAATCAAAAAGGCGGTCGCACAACAAAGGAGCGCCGAAAACCACATGAGCGCCGAAAAGCAATGGAGCGCTGAAAACTGAAGGAGCGCCGAAAACCAAGGAAGCGCCAACGGCCCAAAGGGCGCCGAAAACTACAAAGACGCCGAACACCAACGAGACATCAAAAACCACAAATACGCCGCAACCCAATGGTGCGCCGAAACCCACAAGAAGAGAAGTAGTTTCTAAACCTCCCGTCAGCCAGGGCCCTCCAGTTGAAAAGGCCAACAGGGGGACGGGAGGGGGAGGTTGCTTCGGAAGTCCCCCCTTTGAAAAGGGGAGCCCCAGCTTCCCGCGGGCCCCGAAAAGGAGGCGGGGAGTAGTTTCCAAGCCACCCCCCCTTTAGCCAGGGACCCCCCAACTACAAAATCCAAACAACAGGAATATGGGGGTAGTTTCGGAAGCCCCCTTCCTTTGAAAGGGGAGCCCGGGCTGACCCTGGGCCCCGAAAAGGGGGGGCGGGGAAAGGAGAGCTTCCAAGCCCCTTCAAACCCCAATCCTACGAAAAGGGGGGAGGAGGGGGGGTAGCTTTGGAAGCCCCCCACCCTTTTCCAAGGGAGGGGGGAGGGATAGCTTGAAGCTGGACCCCCCATTTTTGTGAGAAGTGCGCCACGAGTGCGTTCTTGCATAATAATAACAACCAAGAAGAGGGATAGGAGGAGGAGGAAGAGGAGGACGAGGAACACTAGTGCGATGAGAAACGCAAGGATGATTGTCATGGGGGAGCGCCATGAACATGCTCGTGGTGCGCCAGTGCGCTGTGGTGAACCGCTAACCAATGTCAGCAGCAACCCAGATGCGACCTTGTTGTTTCCAACGGAAAGATAATTTTTGGACTAGGTACATCATATAACTTCAGTGCTTATCTGCTCCTGCAGTAAGGTCCAGGCTCCAGAATACCTCCACGCCGATGTCCAGTACTTACGCCGCTCGCGAGTTTGTGCGGCCATGAGAACAGTTCGGTATTCATTTGCACGCTATGAGATCACTGCGATGGCGATCGACGACCTCCTCGTCAAGAGACCGAAAGAATCTGGATGGGAGACGCACGTGCGGAAGGCTCACTTTTAATTTCACCAATCTGCAATGCCACTCTCCTCCGTGCCTATATCTGCTCATGCAAAAGATGCCCTCGGGCTTAATACTTCATCGCCCAAAGTCGCGTACTCCTCTTTGGAACCCTTCAATCACCCACGGCGGATCACAAGGGCCTCAAGAGGAATCCGATACAGCACAAGAGGGTCCAAGAAGGTACAAGGCTGCTCCAATACGCTCCAAGAGGCCACCCAGAGGGGCTCAAGTCAGTCCAAGGTGTCCCCAAGACGGCTCTGGAGGGCCCCAGACGGCCCCCAGACGGCCAAAAGGTTGCGAACACGGCCTCGATACTGCCCCAAGAGAATCTCAATATGGCCCAACAGCGGGCGGAACGCTTGTCCAGCCGTATCCCCGCGAATCGGTGTGAATCACATGCAGGATGCGATGAACAGGTGAAGAGGGACCAGGGCTCATAGTGTGGCCAGCATCTTCATGTCCATAGCAAAGACGCGAAGCTAGGGGCGGGACTATCGACGTCCTGGAAGCGAAACTGGGTGGCGAATGCGTGCATGCACATGAGGGTGGAGATGTACAACAGAAGGCCGAATAATATCAGCCAATCCTTGGCGCAATCTCTGTGTAGCCAATCACCAGAAGAGGTGACGCCGTGCAGTAGACACATACGATAGTAAATCGTGTTGCAGGAAATCTAGGGGCACACTTGTCGTCGAGCTCTGAGCACCCTGGACATGCTGCAACACTTCTGTGCCCACCCCCAGGCCTTCAGGGGATAAGAGGCTTTCGCAGGGCACCTGCTGGCAAATCGGCTTCTTGTTTGATGTGCCTAGTGCAGGTACACGTTCTGCAAATCCAGAACGCACCAAGGCCTGTGGTAGATCTCGGAGCGGCCGTGCACATGAGCATCGTCATGTTCAGGTGGTGCGCAAACAGTGTAAGATGACGCACACCCCGTCGTCTTCGTCGTCGTCATCCTCCTCCTTCTCCTCCTCATACTCCTGTTCGCACGCGTACTCCTCCTCCTCCTCCTCCTCCTCCTCTCCTCCTCCTCCTCCTACCCCCCCCCCCCGTCCTCTACGTCTCCCTTCTCCTGCTGCTCTCGTCTGCCATTATCCTCCCCTCCTCCTGACTCGCCCAGAGATCCTGCTCCTCCTTGACCTGCAAGTGTATGTTCCCCTTTCTCCTCCTCCTCCTCCTCCTCCTCCTCCTCCTCCTCATCGACCCCATCCTCCTCCTCCCTGACCCCACCCATAATCCTCCTTGACCCGCCTCGGCCCTCCTCGACCCCATCATCCTCTTTGACCCTCCTCCTTCATCCTCCTCGACACCATCATCCTCCTCCTGGACCCCATCCTCCTTCTAATCCTCCTCCTCCTCCTCCCTCCTCCTCCTCCCTCCTCCTCGACCCCCTCCCATCCATCATGTTGCTTATCCTGCTGCTCCTCCGCGTCCTCCTCATCTGCCCCTCCTCCATCCACTGACTGTCCTCCTCCTCCTTCTCCTCTTCCTCCTCTTGACATTATTCCTCCTCCTTCCAATCTGGCGAGAGGGACACTGGTTCTCCTGCGTCTGGTCCTCCCCCTCCTGCTTACCATCCTTGTCATATGTATCAGCCGTCTCTCCTTTAGCCCCCCGTCCTTCTCCCGCTCCGCCCCACCAACGGGGTCAAGGCACACCCTAGCCATATCGCCAAGTAGGTTTCCCCACTCATCCACACCCTGCTTGCCCTCATCGTATGTCGCCTCCTCCATCTCATTTTCCGACAGGGGCATGTATAAACTGAGGTTATGATGACGGTGGTGACGATGATGCTGCGTTGATGAAAATGTTGATGATGATGGGGAGGAGGACGATGCTGATGGTGCTGGTGATAATGATGCTGATGATGATGAAGCTGCTGATACTGGTGATGATGATAATGATGATGATGCTGTTGATGATGACCATGATGATAGTGATATTGATGCTGATGGTGGTGGTGATGATGATGGTGATGGTGGAGATGGCGATGGGGATGATGGTTGCGGTGGTGGTGGTGATGGTGGTGGTGATGCTGCTGATCATGCTGATGATGCTGAGACTGATGGTGATACTGATGATGATGAGGATGGTGATGGTAAGACTGTGATGCGGATGCTGATGGTGATGATGGTGATGATGACGACGGCGACGACGATGACGATGACGACGACGATGCTAATGCCGATGATGGTGGTGATGGTGATGGTAGTGGCGATATTGATGATGACGATGACGATGATGATAAGGATGGTGATAATGTTGATGCCGATGATGATGATAGTGATGGCGATGGTGGTGGTGATGGTGTTACTGCTGATGATGGTGATGCTGTCGATGATGACGACGATGATGATGATGCTGATGAAGATGCTGCTGTTGCTGATGATGATGCTGATGATGACGACCCTGAGTACGATGATGATGATGGATACGATGATCATGCTGGTGATGCTGAGGAGGCGGAAACACAGGATGGACGATGAGGTGGATGACAGTGAAATATGATATTAATGCTGAAGCTGATGCGGATGATGATGATGACGACGATGATGATGATGATGGTGATGATGATGATGACGATGATGACGAGGAGGAGGAGAACGAGGAGACAGAGGAGGAGGAGGACGAGAAAGAGGAGGAGGAGGAGGATGGTGATGAGGATGAAGAGGGGGAAGTAGGAGAGCGCGGGGATGAGCAGGAGGAAAGGCGGTGAGCGTGACTGCAAGAACGAACGGTGAGAAGACGGGAGAGAGCGGAAGTGATGAGGGAGGATGAGAGACGGAGATGGAAGTACCAGGGTGGGAGAGCGGGAGGACAAAGTACGAGGAGATGTAGGAAGCAATGGGCACAATACAAACGAAGCTGAAAAGCATGCGGAAGAAGACGGACCGCGGAAAGACGGAACGAGGAAAGATGAAACGAGGGGCTTAGATGAAATGCTGAAGCCGCCCAGGCCTTTACACAAGCTGGCGCCCCCTCCTACTCCTCTTCCTCCTCCTCCTCCTTTTGCTTCTTGCTGTGAGGTTCGCGGGGCCACGAACTGGCGGCGCTCGGCACGTCGGCAGCGGCGAGGCCGAGCGGGGCATGGCGTCCTTCAGGGCCGAGCCCGTGTGATACATTGCCTTCAGGAGCACCTCGGGGAGGGTGAGCAGAAGGAGGAGCAGGAGCGGGAGGAGGCGGGAGGGGGGGGAGAAGGGGGAGGAGAGGTGGGAGGCCAGATGAGGCAGAGACACGGTGAGGAGGAGGAGGGGGAGGAGGATGAAGAAGGAGAAGGAGAAAGATGAGAGGGAGGAGGAGGAGGAGCAGGAGGATGAGGACGAAGAGGGAGGAGGAGAAAGAGGATGAGGAGGAAGATGGGAAGGAAGAGGAAGAGGAGGAACACCTCGAAGAGGGGGGAGAACTGCAGAAGGATGAGGCGGGGCAAAGACTAAGGAATCTTGGGGGAGAGAGGGGCTGAAATGAGGATGATATCATCATTGCCGTAAAAGAACGTAACAGCAGAGGGATGAAGATGAACACCAGTGCATACCCAAGACGCATCAACGAAATTGCAACACACCCTCGCTACAAGTTCCCTCTTCGTAGGTTCCTACGAGAACGTATCTACATTGCGGGAAGCGCCTCTTGCATGACAAAGAATATGATAATCCGCACTCGTGCCAAAACATATTCCTGGTACTTCAGCACCGCGAGTCAGTGTGACTTTCTGCGTCCTGACAAGCCTAACCCGTGCCAGAGCACAAATCATCGGACTTCGACCATACGAACTTTTGAAACTGTAGCAACAAACTGAAACGAACGTGCACGGCGCCAAAGCGTGAGCCAATTTTTGAGAAGGATCCGTCCACCGTCTTAGAAAACGTTGCAAGCTTGTAAGACGAATGTGCGCGGTGATAAAGCGAGAGCTACATGTTGAACACCGCCAGTCCTCCGTCCTCGAAGCTGCTGCAAGCTTTCAAAACGAATGTGAGCGGTGCCAAGGCGGGAGTCACATTTTGAAAAGGACCCGCCCCCCATCAGTAAAATTGTTGCAGAATTCACTCTTCAAGATCATACATGATGAGAAAATCCCATGCGAAACGCCCGGCCCGCCCTACCGACACGTCTAGGGGTGCGACAGGGAGGAATCATTGATAAGGGCATCGGGTGGAGGAGAAGCAGGACGAGGAGAGGGAACAAGAAAATGAGGAAGGGGGAGGGGGGAGGCGGGAGGAGGATGAGGGGTGGGAGAAAGAAGAATTATCAGAGAGGACCAACAAGTAATTGGATGAGCGAGTTCGAAGAGAGCAGACAAGGAAGAGGAGGAGAAGGAAGAAGAGGAGGAGAAGGGAAGCTCGGGGGATGAGGAGAAATACCAGCAGCAAAAGGGCGCAGAAGAGCAGGAACACGATTAGCAGGCGCAGCAGGGGCATTTTCGTCGGCTCTGGCGGCAGCTCCACAATTACGGCCTGTGGCACTGGTAGCTCTGGCGCGCGAGCGGGACAGGCGTCAAGCGAAGACTGCATGATTCTACCTTTGAAGGGGCCCTGAGACACACAAATAAATACACACGAATAAAAGGATCCCCCATATTTTCCCACATTTTCTGGGCTTCTGTCTTCCCCCCCCACTTCCCATATTTTCACATATTTTCTGGGGAATCGAGGATTCATTGTGTCTGTGTGTTTTTTTCCCCCTGAACCTCACACTGCAAGCGCTCCACCCGCAACTGACGTCCACGGGCCACCCGAAAAAAAAAACGTGCCGACCGTCCGCCGCCATGCCACTGTCCACGAGCACCGCAGGCTCACGGGAGGAGGAACGAAGGGGAAGGAGGAGAAACGTTAGAAAACTCGATGGCTCTGTCAATATGTTGCGTAAAAGATGTTTCTGTTATGTTGTAAAGTCATTATCGAATATTTTGTAGCACTTTACGGGGCCAGGGCGCTTGGCGAAGACAGTACTGCTGGTGGCAACTATCTGGCCGATCTTCTGGTGGCCTCTTTCCAACCCTGCGTGTCAAACGCTTCGGCCGTTTGGCCTGTAGCTGTGTGCCGCTGCGCCCTGCTCCTCCTGTATCCGGGGCTCGGCTGCTTGCATAGGAATCGCCGCGCTGCCACTACACTGGCTGATCACAGCGCAGGCATCGTGCACCACATTCCGCTGATTATATTTGCTAGCGCACTTTACCAGGAAAACACAAAACGGCAAAATCTGCGTTGCGCCGTACGCTGCGCAGGACCGAATTACTGGTTAACCGGACATGCCAGTAGGAGGAGACGATGTCAGAACTGTCGCTTGGCCTCCTGTTGGATGGAGGGAGAAAAAAATTAGGAGTTGGGGGGGGGGAAGAGAGAGATCCCGCAGCGCGGGCCCAGGGGACACGTTCTCCCTGTTCGATACAAGGCGCAGTGATGACCTCCTTCGACGTGTGACTGCATTTGTTCGCAGGGCCATCGCGCATGAAGCTGCCTGGCCATTGCCAGCGATACTCGCGCCAGGGCCCTCCAGCAGACAGTGAATAAGCAGAGACGCCAAAGACACATGGAATTAGTTTGGTTTGGTTTGGGACGCGATCGAACAACGTGTGCACTGCTCCTGACTAACGACTCTCGAACAGCAGCAAAACTGTCGCCTCTGCAGATTAGGGGGAGAGGGGAGCGGGAGGGGAAGGGAGGCGGGGCCGGAGGCAGGGGGGAAGAGGGGGGCGGGACTCCTCCCAGCGCAGCGCTACGCCACCGGCCCTGCTCCGGGTCCGAAGGCGGCCTGCGCGGAGGCTCGCGCTGCCAGCCTCGAGCCGGCGCTGCTGCAGCCAAGCCGAACCGTGGTACTTCAAAACGCGGGCTGGCCAGAGCTCTGGGTGGCGCTCGAGGTGCGCCTCCCAGCCGAAATAACGCCTGGCCCAGATTTTGCTCCAGGCGCCATGACGATTCGTGAGGATGCGCGCCTCTCTGTGTACACGCTGCCAAAAATCTGCCTTGGGCTCACATGGGATTGGCTTCCTTTGCAGCACTCGCGATAGCATGGCAGATTGCGTCCTGTCCAAAGCTTCTGCCCTGGATGTAGACCACGGCCACCGTGGAGCTCTGTACCCGAATACTCCGACGATTGCCCGGTCCATCAGCCGGAGCTTGGATGTCACTGATGTAAGCGCCCCCCGAGCTTCCCGGAAATTTGCATAGAAAGCTTTCCACATCTTCTTTCTCGTCTCTTCAAAGTCACGATGCATGGAATTGGAACTGCTTACCCACGCCCCGAGACATTTCATGACTGAGCACGGCTTCCATCCGGCAGCGACGACATCTGGATCCAGGTCCGGGCCAGATGGCAGGATGAGGACCTCCTTGCTGTCGCTACTGACCCGCAGCCCCCAGCGGCGTTGTAGGTGGAGCTCGAAATCTTGAAGGATGGCCACGGCTGCGCTGGGAGTGGCGCCCACGCTGAACAAATTGTCAACCCAACACGCAAACGCAAGACAGTCGTGATCCATGTGAAAGCCAAACTGTTTCCACACATGCTGCCTCTGTGTTGCCACGTCGTCGACGGGGCGTCTGCTCAACGGAGGTGCAGAGTGGTTCCCTGTGACCAACCCCCGCCGGCGCGCTGGCAGAGTGATGATCTCCTCGCCGACGGCCAGCTCCAGAATGGGCACCACGTGGAGCTTGATAGCTGCTGCAGCGACATTGGCCGGGACACCCGCCGCTATCAGTGAAGCCCCCAGCGTCCCAAGAGGAACGTAATCGAAAAATGCTTCGATATCGCCCTGGGCTATTCCTGCAGCGCTGCCTGAGTCCAGCCCTTTTTCCACGACCAGCGAAAGACCATGGATGATGTCCATGGGCTGAGAATTCCGCCTGCCGCCGTTGAGGTACAAATGGGACTGGCGAGGCGCCGCATCATCCATGTAGGGAGTGACGATGTGGGAGATGATCACGTGCAGGAGCTTGAGAACCCACGGTTGCTGTATGATGGCTCTGGTCTGCCGCGACCGGATGGAACCGGCTGCTTTTCCCAGCACGTGCCCGCGCACTCTCTGGAGTGCGAGTTCAAATGAAGGGAGGCGAAGAGAGGGGGCACAACCAGCGATGAAAGCTCCACTGGCTAACGTTATCGGCGCAGAAACCGAAACACTGGAGCGATACGAATTGACAATGAATCGTCTCGGCATCACGGGGAGATTATGATGATAATGATTAAAAATCTTAAACCCTGGTGGGCAAATCCTGACGAGAGAAACAACATAATACAGACAGATGAGAATGCGCTATATGAGTTTGTCATGTATACACATGCTTGCAACGGACCGATGGCAGCGAACTAGGGACGGCGATCAATGGCGCAACCCGTCAGGCAAGGCAACGCACTAAACTACATGAGCATGCCATTGCGATGTAAGACGGTGTGCGCGATTGAAACATGCAGAGGTGGAGCAGGAGGAGGAGAAGGAGCAGGAGGGAGTGAGGTGCTATATATATATATATGTATATATATATGATTACATGTATATTTGTACGTGTATATATATATATATATGTATATATAAAAACTCATACGTGTATATATATATATGTATACACACGACCAACTCAATGTACATGAATGTGGAGCAGGAAGATGATAATGAGTACGACGAATTGAAGTGCGATTTCTACACATGTATTTGGATATACAGGCGTTCATGTGTGTAGGTTTGTGGACAGACGCAAATTTACATACATGAGAGAGCGTGATCCACCGCCGCTTTACTGTGGAAAATTGCAAACCTTTTCCTCCGGAGCCCGGGGGTCGCCCCCCCCCCTCCGAAAATCCCCCCTCCCCCACCCCCCCTGCTGGACCCCCCCCCCTCCCCTCCCTCGGCAAAACCCCCCCTCCCTAACCCCCCCCCCCCCCCTATGAAAACCGGGGGGGCCACTACCGGTTCGAACCCCTCCCCCCCCCTCCCCCCTGGATCCGGAAAACCGGGGGGGGTCACTACCGGTTCGAACCCCCCCCCCTCGAAAACCGGAGGGGGATCACTACCGGTTCGAACCCCTCCCCACCCACCCCACTCACCGCCAGCAAACGACTCCCGGTCCCTACCACCGTCCGCATCACATCCCCCACTGTTGTTCCCAGCACCACTGTCCTCACCACCACTGTCCCCACTGTGTCCCCA